AAGATAAAATTGATGTCTATATCGAAATGCATTAAAACTACCAATGATGGTTTTATTCGATTAATTTGTAACAGGACTAACTTCATTTTTTAAAATAATTTCTATCAATTATGCTTTTACACTTTTTGTATTCATTTATTCGTGACACATTTTTTTAAAATTTGTATGTGGTTGTCATGCAATTTTTTTGTATTAGTTGAGCTTATATTAATATTCTCTTTTTCTGCATTTTTGTATATCGTATATTTGGTAATGTTTAATACTATGTTCGAAATAAAAAGTTTAATCAGGCTTCAATTGAATTGTAATTTATGTTTTTCTTTTTAATAAATAGAGAAAAAAGAAAGGAACTTATAGAGATATTTTCCATGTTGTTCTTACCATTCAAAACTTTTTGGATTTAATTATTCACATAATGCCTAGAAGAAACCTACAGAAGCGGATTCATTTATCAAAAGAGCTGCTCTTATTGAATATTGAGAAAACAAGGAAATTGATCTGAAAAACAGCAAATTTTTTGGTTCACTGCTGATTGAGTACATATAACATAATTGTATTACTCTCACTAAAATCTCGGTCTATAGAACTGAAACTTTTCGAATAAATTAAGTATTCAAAAATATATTTATAATATAAATTTGAACATTAACTGATAATGTATTTAAAAAAATTGAAAAAAAAACAGCTTTACGTTATTTATGAAATCCCTTCCCTACATGATCTAATACTAACAGCTAGTTTTCAACAAAAAACAGTTCTTACCGAATTTTTTTAATTTTAATGTTAAGTGAAGATTCATCAAATACGATAGAAAATATTAGAACATCATTTTCTCTATCACTACATAAGAAAAGAAAATCTTATTGAGTTTACTATAAGAAAATAAGATAGTGACAACACTAAGTTTTGATTTCCCTAAGTAATTTCTTAACCGATATGTTGAAGAATGTTCAGGGTTGCATATGCTAAATATAAGTGTATTCTTTTTTTTCAAGTATAACATGATGAAAACAAAAAAGGATATATTTAACATACAAAGGAAAAAGTAAGATGTTCATCTTTTGTATTTAATAAGGAAAACTAACAAATATGATTACAATTATTGACTAAACCACAATTCAATATAATCACTTGACATATGTATATATTTCAAACGGCAGTTTTTTTTTTGTATATCATTAATATTTTCCAGTATTCGATTGTTAAATAAAGCATCTTTGCTAAATTCAATAGACATAACTTTTAGTTTCCGTATATTCTGACAGATTTTATCTATAGCTATAATTGGATCGACATTTGTCAATTGAGAATTTGCTCTATATTGTTGTATATGAATAGTATATAGTGAAGATGACATACCAAGACGAGTAATGATTGTCAATGGTTCAACAAGAAGAGAGTTCTTGGTTTGGCGAACAATTAATACTTCTAAAGATGAAAATTGATCTATATTTATATTATTAATGATAAGTTGCAACAAGAGTTCATTATCAATATTTAATATTCGTATATGTGGCATCCAGTTAAGCCAAGTTTTAGTTGTATTGGTAAATCCATCACCTATAAATATATTTATATGTATTATTAAATATATCAATGTAATAGACTGCATTTAGCAAATCTTAACTCTCATTATCAATCATTATATATATGGAAAATAATAGTAAATTTTAACTGTCACAATTAGGAATATTTACAAATGACTTTGAATTATTGTGATTTTGATCGTAGGAAAATTGTAATTATATTTCAAGTCTTAATAATTCCGTAGATCGCGACCAATCTAATGTGAGATCGTTTTATGAGTTTCATAAATCTATATGAAAATTTCGCAATTATGTTATATAGATTTATTAAATAAGATCTTTAGATATTTTACAAAAAAAAAAAAGAACTTTATCTGCTTTATTTTATGCACTATTTTCATAGGATGATTAAAATGTGACTATACAAATCTGACCGAAGAACGTGATATATGTAACTTTGTAGAGAAAGAGTTCCTCTATCGAATAATATACTTAGTATGAAATTTTATTCTGTATTGTGACAGAAAATCTATAACCTAATATTGACTGTTTGTCTATTACTGAGTCAAAAGTCATGGGTCGTGTGCGTAGATGTTACTTGATGATTTGTAATAGAATCACAAACTCATCCACGCATATTGATCCAGATTTATCAACCGAGGCTTTGACCTTTTTCCTTTGACTTTGTAACAGACAAACAGTCAACATTAGATATATGGATTTTCTGTCACGGTACATAACAGAATTTCATAATAAGTATATCACTCAATAGCGAAATTCTTCCTTTACAACCCAACATATGTCCCGTTCTTAGGTCAAATTTCATTGTGAAAATTATAATTGCCTCTTGTCGAAACGATCTTATTACATTTTCTTTATCTTGGCATTGCTTTCTAGAAATTCTGTTTTAAGTCTCGATTAAAACAAGAAACGAAAATCAATATGATAAACAAACTACTATTTTAATTTATTACTTGATTTGATAGTTAAGAAAAAATGAAAATTTGATTTATACTATCATATTAAATGTTGATTGATAGATACAAACAACAATATGATATATACTTATCGGAGAAAAAACACTATAAGAAAATTTTATAAAATTTACTTGGCTGATTTTCATAACGTCTTTGAATTTCTAATGTATCAAATTGTAGAAACTTTTGATCATTATGTTGCAATTGATAAATTCCATCTGGTTTTATTTTAATTGACTTTCCTATGTATAATGCATTTGTTAAACTATAATATTGAATAGAAACACTCACCTTTATGAGAACCTTTTTTTAACATATCAATAAATAGTGCACTAAGAGATTCATTTTCACCTATAAGTAAAATAACTCCTGGAGTCTTATGAAATAACATTGGTATTAAACAATCTAAACGATCATTAGTTTGATTGAATTTCGTATTTATAATATCATTCATGATTAGAAATGGGAGATCAAATATATAAGGTAATGTAAATATAACATAAACACAATTAATACTGTCATAATGACATCCAATGCGCATGGTTAACCAGTATGCTAAAAATAGATTCAAATAAAATTATATTTTAGTGTATAGAACAAGACTATAAGTTTTCATATGATTTTATATTAAATCTTGAAAGTGATGCACGACGAAACTTAACATAAGGAGAAAAGTCTTATATTTATACCAATCGCGGATCCAGAAAATCAGTGAGGGAGTAGCAGTTTTCCATAGGAGACGGCGGTCATGGTGAAAAAACGTGTTTCAACATCTATTCAATGGTGGCGCGACCGCGAGGTCGTCGCGCGTGTAACATTCCGCCCCCAATAATGGGAAATTTTCGCTTATTTTCTATAGTGAAACTATATTTTCTTTGCACTCTGTTAGAAAAAAATTTGAAGTTTGTACAAAAAAAGCGGTAGCCTCCCCAAAAGCGCTGGAGGGGGCAAGTTGGGATGCCCCGCGCCACCATTGCACCTATTCGAGGCAGCAAAAATCTTTTTGCTTTGTTTCTATTGTGGAAAAATGTGATAAAAAGTTCTGCAAGGGGATGATGGTCGCCGAATCACCGTGCTGCTGGATCCATCAATGATTTATAATTTTCAAGATAATAAAAATTCATACATGTAGGAAATTGAAATGATAGTTATTCAAAGAAAGTAAGTTTAATTGAAATACTATTAAGAAGGCAAAGAACAATATTCGTAAAATTTCAATAATTGGATGAAAAAATAACTATTTGATCATCTTTAAATAAATCTGTCATTTATATTACAACACTGAAATTTACGAAGACGTATATTTGTATCATCTACTAAATTCTAAGCTATAATTATTAGACATACTCTCTGTTGATGCCTTGATCTAATTAAAATAAGCTTGTTTTTAGGAGTGAGGTCCCATTTTCTAGGCCCAAAATTTTCAAGTTTTTCATTGTTTATGTTCAGTATGTACATTTAAATATTCTTTATCGAATGAACACATTTCCAGAACTAAAAAACCCAAAAGGAACGCAACCTTCGTTGCATTTTTCTCAAAATCAAATTTTTAAACAAAAAGCTGAAGTCTTTCCCCCTTTTTCTCTGATATGGCACAACCGATTGAGCTGAAATTTGCTTTTTATGATTGTTCTCGTGAAATTTCCTAGACTATATAAAACTTGTTTTAAGCAGAAAAGCACATTTTTTGATAGGTTTTCCAGCATTTTGGTTCTCCTAATCGAAAGAAATAATAGTTTTCAAAGAAAAACATATATACACTCCAATTTGGTCACAATAGACGTGTTTCATGAGAAAGTTAGTCTAGGTTAACTTTTTTCAATTTTGCCAAAATCTAACGCTATCTGGAACTTACGGGTTTTAGACTACGCTCTTTCTTTTGTCTAGCGAACATTTTTTCCAGAATGCTCGGAAGTAGGTTTTCTAGAAAACTGTGGTTTTGAGACAAATTGTCACGACAGTATTTTTGTTTTAACAATTTATAATTATAGAGCAACCAATTCTCTACAAAATGTGACGTCTCTGAGCTCTCTACGACGTTTTTGGTTGAGTTATATCAGTTTTGGTGAAAGTCAAAGGCCTGTTTTTTGTCGTTTTTCTCGGAAGAGTTAGCAGAAAAAACGACCTTTGATTTTCACTAAAACTGATGTAGCTCAACCAAAAACGTCGTAGAGAGCTCAGAGACGTCTCATTTTATAGAGAATTGGTTGCTCTATAATTATAAATTGTTAGCCAAAAAACTATCCTGACGATTGGTCTCAAAACTACGGCTTTCTAGAAAACCTACTTTCGAGCATTTTGGAAACAAGTGTCTCGTCAACAAAAGAAAGAGCGTAGTCTAAAACTCTTAAGTTTCAGATGGTGTCAAAATCGGATGTACTCTTATACAGTTAGATTTTTCATGGAACACGCCTATTCCTATAGAAAAAATTCAATCATAAAAATTAAGTTCTGGATATTTGCGGGAGAGGGTGAGGAAAAAAAGGAATTTCAAGTTAGATTTGGTCCTAGGATTCACTATATCTTATAGAAAAAACTATCTAGTAAATCTGAGTCTATGACAACTTTTGCATTACTAGTCGAGTTCAATCTATCCTGTAAGTTTGAGAAATTTTGATTAGGCTGTTCTTGAGAAAGGGAAGATGCCGTTAAAACGAAAAAGATATGTCATATATATAAAAACAACTATCTCAATTCCTGCGGGATTAAAATGTGAAACATGATCGAACTGGTTACTTATACCATAAATGGGAAAATATACTAATTTCCTTTTTAATGTTATCACTTGAGTTTTATAGATATACATTTTCAGTTAAGCTTTAAGCGAATTATAACGATCACAAACTACCAAAAAAAAGGTTTATGATGTCGCTCCACCCTCCTCCTATAATAGAGGGGTTTTTAACGGCTGGTGTATATAAGGAAGCGTTGCTAAGACATCTATCATGTCTGGAAAACAACAGTACAAATTTGTGCCTCTTATACTTCAACATTAGGAATATGAACTGGAAGATTTTATTTCATGTGTACACAATCCATGTGCAATTTTAGTCTTGTATA